TATAGTTCCATAATAAGGCTTATTAAAATTAGCCAGGTTTGCAAAATATTGGCCAACCATATAGGGATAGGATGGGTTAAATCTGCCATGCTACAGATAGTCCTTGACTTACAACCATTACTGAACCCATAATTACTGTTGTAAGTCACACTACTTGTTAAGTGGGTCACCATATGACCACGCCCAATTTTACAATCTTTTTTTCAGTGGTTTTCAAGCAAATCCATTGTCCACAATGAGCATATTCGTTTGGAAACTGGAAACATATGCAGGTTTCTGGAAAAAAAAACCAACAAAATCCCCAAAGCAAAAAGCATTGTAAATCATGGTCATGTGCAGTGGTGCGATTCAACCGGTATAAAAACCGGTTTGTTGACCACGCGCTCCTTGTTTAAAAAAAGCTAATACTTCCCTTCAACTGCAGCTGAAGAAAACAGCTGAGGCACGGAAAACTGCTCTGCCATGTGAATCAGCTGAGCTCTAACAAAAATACATAAAAGCACAGGAAAGAGCAGGGTCTAGCGGACTGGCCCACATGCTCATTGGAGAAAACCAGTTTGGAGCCAGTTGATCGTCTGAACAAAGGGTTTTCCTGAACCGGGAGAATCCCATCCCTGGTCATGTGATTGTTGGTTGTTGCAAATGACTATAAATGCAGTCTGGTGGCCAAGTGCCCAAAATGTGATCACATGACTGGGAAGCGCACCAAAACGTGCCTACTGTCCCTGTCCTATTGTTTCTTTTTTCCTTATTCGTATCAATTTCATGTATTTATAAGCATGTTTATACTTATACCTGTTATCTAATAATTGTTTGACAAATGAATGAATGAATGAATAAATAAATAATAAATAAATAAATAAATAAATGTGCATGAGTGGCTTAGATGTTGGAATTTTGAATCCAGGTCATAAGTAACCAAAGAAGGAAATGTATAATTTTGTACAGTTGGTAAGTGATCAGTCATAAGTCAAAGACTGCCTGTACTTTGTGCAACATCTGGATTTTTTTTTTAATTGCAGTGTCTTATGCACAGATTTTACAAGGGAAAAAAAGTTTAATTTTCATGCATTTTTTGGAGTTAAAACATTCATGGTCATAAATGAAAACATTGCTGTTAAATGATAAATGAAAACATTGCTATTTTGAATCAGCCTCTGGGCCCATTCAAAGCAGTCCTGCTTTGCCTTCTGTAACTGACATGGAGATGATCTAGCCTCCCCCCCCCCTTCTTGATTCTTCTCTAGACAAGTAATCAGTCTACAACAGTCTCCTCTTGGGAGAAATCACCAAGAACTTTGACCTTTCCTAAGTTAGGCATTTTAATATGCTAAAGCCACAAGAAGCTTTGAGATGGAATAGTTGAATACTAACATATTTGTAGCTACTGTATTCCTGAAACTGCATTGTATGTGTAGTTATGTTGTTGGCTGCAGAAACCTCTTCATGTTGTTGGCTGCCAGCTGCTGCTCTTGTTCTCCCATTGAGCTTTAATGGGCAATAAGGAGACAAGAGATTTGTGTGTGCATCAATACACCAATGAAGCAAACTGTTTTGGGTGTTTAAGCAATGCTCAGAGCAACTATTAAAGATGAAAGGTTGTGCATGTGCCTTTTAAGGGTGGGTGGAGGAAAACTTCACAATAAATGGGAGAGAAAATAGCAAACTACTGGTCAAGCTATTAGAATAACCTCAGATTCTTGTTTGCAACAGAGGCAGATTAAAAAAATATTTGGGTAAATTAATTTGAGATTTACACAGCATTTGTTGTCAGTGTTTTATGCTCAGTCTCTAAAACTGAACATCCCATCTCTCTAAGCTTTACCTGCCTTTTTAAAAAGCCTTTTCTCATTGTAACTTTAAAAACAAAATGTCCTCTGTTTTAAAAGTCTCATTCCACACCACTTATTAATATTTGTCTATTCAGACCATTTAATGTGTTTATGTGATTGATAATCTGGCCATCAGTCATTAAGTGAGTGGGAATACTCCTACCTAATCCCAAATACCAGGCCTGGATATTTGTATGATATCTGAGTTTGCAAACATGTATTTTATTGTGTTCTTTTATTTTCAGATGTTTTAAAAATATATATCTTGCAGTTCCAGTGCTAAGGAAGAGAGTTGTTAGACCAATGAATGAAAATATAGTTTCATATTGTGAGCTGCTGCTGGAATTTCTTACTTTGTTTACAGTGTAAGGAAGAATTTTGTCAGGAGAAAGAAGGAAGTTTAAATTCCTATGATGCAGAGAAATTGTATGATTGTGTTTATGTGTAAAGTGGAAAACATGGAAGCTGTTTTACCAATCTAAAGAGCAAAGTTAACCCATATTCATTATATGCAAGAATAAAAAAGTAAACATCCCTTTCTGGATTTTAACTCTAGTCTATTATTTTCCTTCCCCAAATGTAAATAAATAGCAAGCAACAAGTCTGAGTTTGTTTTCACTCATTTATATTTTGGTCCTGAGGAAATACAAGCCAGAGAATCCTGATGAAATCTCTGATACTGTTTCATATTATGGCCAGATTTCATTTCTGATGGAAAGATCCATCAGTATGATGTCATGAACTGAATATAGGACTTGATCAGACTGACTGTGAAGTCAGTCATTTCACTGTTAGCTTTACGTATCTTACATATATTGCTAAATATAGGGTATATCCAAGAAAGGTTACCCAAATAATTTTGGAAAAATAATAGGATAAAATTATGATGACAAAGAATGGCAGGTTGCCTCATATGTGTTGTAAGAGTATGACCAATTATGTATTTCTTAAATATAGTCTACCCTGGAACTTTGTAGGACATGTCTAAAATATTATAAGTGTTTATATCAGCTGGGAGAGATTTTGGGCTTATATAGTGTTTTTCTTATGCCAAGAAGATACTTCTCCCTGAGTGCAGCTTGTATGGCTCATTCTGGGACAGAGTAAAAGTGCCAGCATAGTCTGTTCATCCAAATCCCATAGCCAAACTGCAGCAACATCTGTTTTTGGCTTCTGTCTTTCATTTGCATGCGCTATCCAATCTACTGAATGAGACTTTTATCAAAATGCTCTGTACTCTTGTTGATATCACCTTGGTCTAAGGTAGACAAGTAACTTGTTGCAGGAATTAATTTAAACAGATTTTCTTACTCTGTCAAGTATGTTTTTGACCATAACCTCCAGTGTGGGAAATATTTATGAGTGCTGTGTTGATTTATAGAATCATGAAGAAGATACCTTGGAGATGATCTAGTCCAACCCTCTGCCAAGTTCAAGAATCCTCACGCCATTCCCAACAAATTGCTGTCCAATCTTTGCTTGAAAACTTCCAGTGATCCGTAACACCAAGAGACAGGCTAGGCTGTTCCATTGCTTCATGACTCTCAGAGTCAGGAATTACTCCTTATTTAAGTACTTAACTTAAAAAGACCCACACCAACACAAATAAACAATAAAGTTCACTTTACTAAACAAATTCAGATTAACAACCTAGCAAAATATATGCAAAGATTTTACACTGCATGGAGGATGATATTTTTCACTCCCTCATTTACAGCAGTTAAAACCAAAAAACATAGCAATAAGGCACAATGGGGAGACAGTCATGGCCACCAGATTAAAACAGACAAACGCTGACTGTGTTTATACACTCAATAATAGTCTATTCCAACAGCCTTTGTCCAAAGAACATGAACTGAGAGGAGAATAGTTGAGTTTCAGCCCTTTGCTTTCTATTGCAGATGATCAGGGCTTCGCAGTGTTTGGCATAAATGTAAGCATAATAATAGAGATGATTAGGCTTAAAAACATGGGAAAAGTGATTCATTTTTCTGATTAATAAAAGAGAGGATACTTGAAAATTCTGTTTTCCATTAAGGGAATTGATAATATTGTGCACTAAAGAGGAAATACTGAAGCACAAGTATATAACAAAGGTGAATGTGGATATAAAAACTTTCATAGATAATTCAAGAGATATTAAATGAAAGCAAAGTATTATCTTTGGCTGGATAGAATGTAGCCCAAGATATACATTTCATAAGATCCATGTAGGATTAAAAACTTGAAAATTAACAGTCTATTTATTTATTTCATTCAATGTGGATGCCATCCATCTCCAACTGACTGAAAGAAGATCAGAAGGAATACTAGATCAAAGTTGGCTACCAGACAACCAAGATATACTCTGGATATTAATTTTCAAGAACGTATGATCATTGAACAGGAAGCCTCTCATACTTTACCTGCTAGGCTTGTGGACACATAACGTCCAACTCACAGAGATATCTAAATATAAAGGTTTGCAGAGGAAGCTGCATTAATTTGACTTGCAATAGGTTCATCCGGAAATTAGGCCAATGTAGTTTCATAAAGAGATCAAAATTAAGGTGGTTAGATGTAGTTATGCTTATCAGGGAGTAACAATAAATTGAGCTCTTAAAGCCATGGAATGCTGTGATTATCTAAATGTTGCTGTATTACAAATCCCAGCATCTTTAGTCATTAACCGTGCCATCTAAATTGCAATTGAATATCAACAACATATAAGTTCCTCTCCCTGTGGATAAGTGATCAGTTAGTTAAATATAGTTGACATGATCTCAAGTATGCTAAAGGGAGTAAAGATCAGAATATACTGACTGCAAACAATAACCTCAGGGAGGCCTGGTACATTGCTTCAAACATTGAGCACCAAATACATCTGCTGGCAGGATTTTGCTATTCAAGAGTCCATAGGGAACTCTTGGATGCAGAGGTCCACTGCAAGTAGCTATTCATGGAAACACTGATATTATTCATTTGTGCTGTGAGACAAAACCTTTGGAATTATCCATTGCACATTTATAAGGACAAGAAATCTTGACCCCTCAATTATTATTTTTCAGTATTCTGTGTTGTTTAAAGAACATGTATTTGCTGCAGAGAACGTTAATGTAATATTTCTGTTTCCCATAGAAATCTTCCTCTATAGCCAGGAAGTTCACAATAGTGAAGCAGAGGACAGCAGGGCATGCTATTATCCTGCAACAGCTGCACAACATGTTACCCATTGAAACAGTTAAGTATTGCATGATTAACTCCTTGTTCTTACATGCCCAGGCAGCAAATTCTGGATGGTCTCATGCTGCTTGAATTGTTGATCTATCCCACAAGTGTGATGTGAGAGTGATTGTAATTCTCTTTGGTTAGGATGACGAAAAATTAAATATTTGGGACAAAACTTCTGATTCAATAGTATACTTGAATGACTTTTTGCCCTGCTGGGTGCAGCACCTAGATAACCTTGGTTTTCTTGAAAAGCTAAGAAGGATTGGACAGAGTTTGTACTTATATGGGAAACCATCCAGAAATTCTAGGCCTGTAGGCATTGGCATTCATAGGGACAGGGACAGTCAAACCAATCAGTCTGGTAAAAGTAACCAGATGCCTGTGGGTAGAGTTGCATTAGCAAAATCTGAAACAGTTGCACTGGGTTTCTGGAAACCAGGATTTCTAGTTTGATTGGGTAAGCTACACATTTTAAAGAGCTAAATGAACTGTTGGAGCGCAATTTTCAAAGATAGTCACATAATAACTCACCGTTTTATTTAGTGTCATGTGAAACAGGCCAATATCTCTCAGCCCGATCCACTTTGTAAGGTTGTCAGGATACAGTAAAATATGGAAAGGCTGACTTATGCTTATCTGAGATTCTAGTAAATAATAAGGGTCTCCTCCCTTAACTGTTGCCATCTGAGACACCCTTTTTACCTTTGAAAGGCCATGAAGCTCTGACTCTTCCCACAAGGGCCAAGATGGGGATTGAGTCAGGAGGTATTTGGTTTGGCACCTGGTGGGAAGAATGCTTTCATTGATTAAAAGTTTTTCAAACAATAACCAAGTTTCATTCTGAAAGCAGATTCTAGCAGTCTGCACCCTATTTTATAGCCTCCTCCTGTATTTCCACCATGAGAAGCATTAGATCAAACTCAATATCATTGAAGTCCGCGTCAGGGTTGTGTTTGACTGGTGTGCGGGTGGGGAGCATGGCCAGCTCAACATCACTCGTGTCAGGGGTGCCTGGGATGGCCTGAGCACTCTAATCAGAGAAAACAGTCTCCCAGGCTCTGTTTTCAGCTGCGATGGCCTCCTGCAACCCTTTGCCAGCGAAAACAGAGCTCGGGAGGGCTGCATGCACTCCGTTTTTGATAACAGGCACCGCGAGCTGGTCCTTTGCTTTTTCCAGGACCTTGAGTTTGACACCCCTGCATTAGATCTTTACTGCCTTCTTAGCTGTGTCTCCCATTTGTTAGAATGCAAGGACTGTGCTTGCATGAATCAAATAACGTGTTTCTCCTTTCTCTGAGTCACATTTTACAAGCCCCCCACTTTTTCTTTTTACATTTGCAAATCATGCATTTCAATGATTATTTTTTTTGTACAATACTTGAAGGTTAGTTCAATAGACAGAGAGCTTATCTGCATTACTTAGCTGACTCATCATTAGAATGATACAGTGACTACTTTTTTTTGACAATAGAAATAGATAATTTCATCCTGTAATCGTCTCCTTTCCATTGTTAATTCAACCCTCCCATGCATTTTCCGGCTGCAGTTTCAAAGTACAGGTTATGACTGGTTGTCCAATGGCCTTTTGTTAGTTTTTGAATCACTACAGAGTGCTTAGCTATATGGGCAGTGATAAAAAAAGGGAAGGTTTTGTAGTGACTACAATTCAGAAGATATTTTTTTAATTTTAAAAATTGTTGCTATCCAAATATACATTTGATATCTTTACTTTGAATATACATATTTAATTTTAGCCTATATAGATACATTTACAACCAACGCACATGCATACACACAGCATATACATATCAGTATATATTTTCATTATGGTTTTTCTACAGGAAAGAAAGCAATTTGAAGCTCTCCCCCCACACCCCCAAAACAGATTTTGAAGCCTTCAGTCTAGATGAAATATTTTGGCAACTGTTGCCAAATGCCTCAGTCTGGTCATATTTGTCATAAATCGGATTAAATGTAAATTGCCAGAAGTGCAGCGACAAAAGCATCTTAAACAATAATATGTCCAGAGATAGCAGTTGCATTATCCAAAATGGTTTTTATTGCAAGAAATCTGCAATATTTCAAGAAATCTGTTAGGCATATTTCCAGAGGCTGTCGGCCTTTCATTAGTGGAACCTCAAAAAAGGTTTATGATCTGTTCATCTTTGCTTCAAATCCTAAACTACAAACAACAGTTTCAAGTTCTTTCCTGTGAAATAGAAATAAGTCCACATATAGATCTATTCCATCTGAAGATGTTGGATCACAGCAAGGGTTCATCCTTTGAATTAAACTTTCAATATTGAGAATAAAGGAGTTATCTTATTGGATAAGATAACTCTTAGAGTCAGGTAATGTCTCTAAGCTAATGAAGGAAGAAAACAGGTGTTACTCTTTGATTCCTTCTATATATTTTCTTCCAAACTGTTTTAAATGGTCAACCAATCTTCTGAAATTTATTTTTAGGAATATTCTTGAGGGGGGAAAAGGGAATTGAGAAAAGTATACAATTTCCTCCTCCCATTAATAGAAGGATCCACTAGATCTAAATTTTCTGAATAACACTGCTGGATTCTTCCCAATAGCAGCATCTTAATCTTACAGATTGTTGCTGTGAAGATTCAGCATTTGACTCATAAAAATGTTTGCCTATCCATTCGCATTGCACAGGAAGAATTCATTTTATTTTTTGAACACTTTGCAAGAGATGTCTTAATAATTAGTCACCACAAGGCTGACATTTTATCTTTTGGTATTTTTATGTTGATAATTTAGAAAATAAAAATACACTATTGGATTGATTTTACTCAATGACCTTTTCCTCTTCAATAATTTTCTGAATCATATGTAGAAAACAGTTGCCTTTGGCAATCGGTTAATCAATAAGTGTGTGGAAGAGTCCCTATTCCCCCTGCCCCGATTTGATTGGCTATAGCATTATGTAGTCAGTTTGTTTAATAAGAAATGGGTATTCTGTGCAAGTAAATAAACCAGAATACCAGTGAGAACATAACCCGAGTGAAATGAGGAACTGGGTGAAACAGAACCTGTAAAAGATCAGGAAGCAGATGAGATGACAGAGTTAATTGTTCAGTAACCACACTTTGCATACCCATGGTTGCATTCTCCCTTGTGTGGGTGTGTGCTTAATCCATGAAACAGATGAAATCAGGATTGTGTATAAGGGAAAGGAAATGCTAATTTACTGTCATTCTTCTGCAGGCAATTAGGCTGTGGGATGGTAAATTACACTTCTCGGTATGCTTTATAGGTAAAGATTTGAATTTTGCACTCCAACCTCTGCATCCTCTGGCAAAAGGCAGGTTGTACATTGCTTGTGAAAGCCATTTTCCCCTTCCATTAAACATCCCAGGTATTGCTTTTTTTTAAAGGAGAAAATGTGATTCTTTTGAATTTTACCTTTTGTAATTGAAGTTCATATTTTCAATTTGTGCCTGGATTATATACATTATTCCCAGCATTAACAAACCTGGGGTCATACATTGCCTACACTCCTCAGCTATTAATACAGGCTGCCACAGCTGATCAGACTGCAGGGGACTGCCTTTCATTGGCAATGAAAATGTACAATTTTCACCTTTTTTTACTAGGAGAGAAAGGGTAGCCCTTAGGCATCTTTTTTCTTCTCAGCAGGGGCTGAACATGTAGATGTGTACATAAACCATTCTACTTATAAAGTCTTGAGATTACAGAACACAGTGTTTACACATATACAGACCCGCATACCTTTTGTATTGATTTCTTGAAATTCCTGAAAGGAGGCTATTGTACAGAGCATGTGTGATTTCTGTGGGAGTATAAATATTCATATTCAATCAGATTGACTCTATTGTGTTGCAGATACTAAACTGAATTGTGACGAATCTCCATGAAGGTGACCAGCCATGCAATGTTCTTGGAAGGCTGTCCTCTTACTTGCTTTGGCCTCCATTGCTATCCAGTACACAGCCATCCGCACTTTCACAACCAAGTCCTTCCAAAGTTGCCCTGTACCCAATCCCATGAATTGTAGCCTGAATCAGGAGGCCGAATCTGCTGACAGACTGTGTGATGAAAGCCCAACCTTTTCTTACAACCTTTCTAAGAAGACTCATGTCCTGATTTTGGCCACCACCAGAAGTGGTTCTTCTTTTGTCGGTCAACTCTTTAATCAGCACTTGGATGTTTTCTATTTATTTGAGCCCCTTTACCATGTCCAGTTTACCTTGATTCCAAAGTTAACGCAGATGAAGGGCTCCATGGACCGACGGATCATGTTGGGAGCTGGCAGAGATTTGCTGAGGAGTCTTTATGACTGTGATCTTTACTTTTTGGAAAATTACATCAAACCCCAGCCGGTGAACCACACCACAGACAGACTGTTCAGGAGAGGGGCCAGCAAAGCTCTATGCTCTGCACCAGTTTGTGAGACACTGGCACCGATTAATACGACTCTGGAAGAAGGAGACTGCGTAAAAAAATGTGGCACTTTGAACTTGACCCTAGCTACCGAATCATGCAAAGATCATGGGCATGTTGCTATCAAAACAGTGCGAGTGCCAGAGGTCAATGACCTTCGGGCCTTGGTGGATGATCCCAGGCTCAACCTGAAAATTATACAATTAGTGAGGGACCCCAGAGGCATCCTTGCTTCCAGGAGTGAAACATTTAGAGACACTTACAGACTTTGGCGAATCTGGGATGGCACAGGTAGGAAACCCTACAACTTGGATGTGACACAACTCACCACTGTTTGTGAGGACTTTTTGAACTCTGTATCCACTGGCTTAAATAGACCCTCATGGCTGAAAGGCAAATACATGTTGGTGCGATATGAAGACCTAGCTAGGAATCCTCTAAAAAAGACTGAGGAAATCTATGAATTCCTTGGTATCCCAATGGATAGCAATGTGGAACGATGGATACAGAATAATACGAGAGGAGACAGGTCTGCATCCAAGCACAAATACGGGACTGTCCGAAATTCAGCAGCAACAGCAGAGAAGTGGCGGTTCCGCCTCTCTTATGAAATTGTAGCATTCACACAGAATGCATGCCAGCAGGTATTAATACAACTGGGTTACAAACTGGTATCCTCCGAGAAGGAACTAAGAAACCTCTCCATAAGTCTGGTGGAAGAAAGAGATTTCTTGCCCTTTTGGTAATGCAGATGTTAGGGCTCCTATTGTAAGTTTGAGATGAGCCATTTGTAACCGTTGCCTTACTTTCCCTCTTCCCGCCTACTCTCTAAAAAATTTGCACTAATTGTTGAATGGGATTCTCAAAAGGAAAGTTCCCCTTCTCAAACCATTGTATAGATGGATGACTATTGGGTCTTAAGAGCAAAAACTAAAATAAACGAACTGTGGACAGGTAGCAATGTTTACAAATCACACACACTTAACAATATATAAAAGGGAAAAAAAGTGACCCTCAGATTTCCACATTGATGGGAATCTGAAGGCTTATACTTTTGCACTTTTTACTTTTACAATGTAAGAGGTCATTATAAATATATATATATATATATAATTATAAATATATATATGTCTAATTTATGAATAGTGTTGTTACCTCCCTCCCAACTTTTATGAGCAGGTTTTACTGTTAGCTGATGGTGGAATTGTCTCTTTGTTTTTAATCTTGTTTTGATATATCTGAGTCATGTTATCAGGCTGGTTGCTGTTCCACAGTTTGTTTAGTAACACTTATGACATTTCTTTGTGCCAAAAAAGAAGAAAGAAAGAAAGAAAGAAAGAAAGAAAGAAAGAAA